CTATTCTATTCTATTCTATTCTATTCTATTCTATTCTATTCTATTCTCTTGCAATACTGCATTCAATTTTGGTAGGCATGATGTATAAAAAATATGTTGACACTCTAGAAAGAGTGCAGAGAAGAGCAACCAAGATGATTAGGGGACTGGAGGCTAAAACATATGAAGAACAGTTGCAGGAACTGGGTATCTCTAGTCTAATGAAAAGAAGGACTAGGGGAGACATGATAGCAGTGTTCCAATATCTCAGGGGCTGCCACAAAGAAGAGGGAGTCAAGCTATTCTCCAAAGCACTTGAACATAGGACAAAAAGCAATGGGTGGAAACTAATCAAGGAGAGAAGCAACTTAGAATTAAGGAGAAATTTCCTAACAATCAGTGGAACAACTTGTTTCCAGAAGTTGTGAATATTCCAACACTGGAAGTTTTTAAGAAGAGATTGTCTGAAATGATATGGAATTTCCTGCCTATGCAGGGGGTTGGACTAGAAGACTTCCAAGATGCCTTCCAACCAGCAGTGGATCCTACCTGTTCCACTACTGGTTTGGTGATCAAGCGTACATGCACCTAACATGTACACGCAGCTTTCCCCATACCAGCTGAGGCCTGCAGTGCCAATCAGTTAAGAGAATAAAGAAGAGAAAAGCACAAGGGCAAGTGGGAGGGCCGATCCTGTATTTTTCTCTTCTTTCTCCTTTCAGCTGATTGTCAGAGGCTTTATTTTTAATACCGGTTCAGGTAAACTGGTAGCATACCACCACTGCTTTCAACTCTGTTGTTCTATAGTCTACATTGGGTAAGTTGAATGAATGGACTGGAAATTTGCTTTCTCTCAGAAGCAGGCAAAGATTAAAGAATCCTCACAGTTAAGATGAGAGGCTTGTCAATCAGAAGGTTGGAAGTTCAAAACCCAAGTACCACATGACAGGGTGAGCTCCCATTTTTCCCAGGAGCAGGAGAAGATTAAAAAATCATAGCGGTTAAAATGCTGGGCTTGTTGACCAGAAGGTTTGCAGTTCAAGACCCAAGTACCATACAACAGGGTGAGCCACTGTTCTGCCCAAACTACTGCCAACCTAGCAGTTTTAACAGATAACAGATAATCAGAGTTGGAAGGGACCTTGTAGGTCATCTAGTCCAATCCCCTGCCCAAGCAGGAGACCCTACACCATTTCTGACAAATAGCAGTCCAATCTCTTCTTCAAGGTCTTAAGTGATGGTGCTCCTACAACTTCCGAGGGCAACTTCTGTTCCATTGGTTGATTGTTCTCACTGTCAGAAAGTGTCTCCTTATTTCCAGGTTGAAGCTCTCCTTCTTCAGTTTCCATCTATTATTCCTTGACTGGCCTACAGGCAGTTTAGAAAATAGCTTGACCCCTTCCTCTCTGGGGCAGCCCCTAAAATATTAGAAGACTGCTATCATGTCTCCTCTGGTCCTTCTCTTCCCTAGACTAGCCAAGCCCAGTTCCTGTAACCGTTCATATGTCTCCAGTCCCCTAATCATCCTGGTTGCTCTTCTCTGTACTTTTTCTAGAGTCTCAACATCTTTTTAATAATGTAGTGACCAAAACTGGATGCAGTACTCTAGCTGTGGTCTTACTAGGGCTTTATAGAGTGATATTAGTACCTCACTTGATCTTGATTGTATCCCTCTGTTAATGCAATTTAGGATTGCATTAGCTTTTTTGGGTGCTGCTCTAGCCGGTTGTCCACTAAGGCTCCAAGATCCCTCTCACAGTTACTGCTGCTGAGCCTGGTTTCACCCAGTCTATATGGGTGCTTTTGGTTTTTCTTACCTAAGTGTAGGACTTTACTTTTCTCTACATTGAATTTCATTTTGTTAGACAAGTCCCAGTGTTTTAGTCTGTCAAGATCCATCTGCATCTTGAGCCTAACTGTTTGGGTGTTAGCTATTCCTGCCAGCTTAGTATCATCTGCAAATTTGATATTTCAAAAGCATGCATATGCAAATGGATATCATTTCAATGGGAAGGTAACTGCATTCTGTGCACCTCAACATATAGTCATGCTGGCTATGACCACAGAAGTGTCTTCAAACAATGCTGGCTTTCTCAACTAAGGAATGGAGAAGAACAGCACTCCCTAGAGTTGGACATGACTAGACAGGGAAAATCTTTACCTTTATATGCTTGATATCCTACTTTTTCTAATGCAGGAATGTTCACTTCATCAGGAGAGCATTCTATCAGGAAAAAAAATCACATATAACTAATCAATATATTAAACTATATAACTTATTGAAAGTTTAGAAATATACAATGGAAAATACTTGATTTTTTATTATATATCAACTTTTCTTTTTTATAGTCTATTGTGGTACAAGGAATCCTTATTTTCCACAAAACATCTTCCTTAACATAGGTGGAATCCCTCTTCCTCATTTAGGCCATTATTTTCCAATTATAATTACAAGCTGTAAAATACAAAATCTGATTTCCCTAGTTATTACCAATCATTTCCTTTTTTCTGCAGATCTCTTACACATTTCTTTCTGATGATATGAATGATAAAACCCGTTTTCCTTTTTTCTACCGGATGCTTCCAAAAGAAAGAATCCAATACACAGGGATCATTAAAGTGATCCAGTATTTCAGATGGACATCTGTGGCTCTTGTGGCTTCCGGAACAGACAAGGGAGAAAGGTTCTTGAAAATTTTAACTCCTTTACTCCTTCAGAATAGGATTTGTCCTCTTTTCTCACAAAGTTTATCAGGGTTCAGTATGAACCAGTTTAATTTCCAACTTGGCTTATTCCTGAAATGGAGACAAGTCAATGTGTTTATTTACTATGCGGAATCTACATTGCAAACTCACTATTTCTATGGCGTACGTATGATAGATCAACTATTTCAACACTTTTTAAAGTCTTCTTCGGGGAAAATCTGGATAGTAACAGCCATGTGGGATCTCACTTTTAATTTGAGGTATGACATCTTCAACTATGTAGACAGCATTTTCAGCTTCTCCATCCAGACCAAGAACTGGATAAAATATGAGAAAGTTTACTCCCTTGCATTTTTAACCACTGAGTTTGCCAACAAAGCTTTTTTATGTTCGTTTCAAAAGCATCCCTTTGCTGTTAAAGGCTGGATTAGGTGCAAGGAGAAAGAACACTTGGAAATTTTAGCACAGGAGGACATTGAAGAAATCCTTTCTCTCAACAGCCATCATGTTTACAACTCCATCTATGCTCTGGCACGAGTGCTAAGTGCTGCCTATGTCTCCAAATCCAAATGGAGAACACTGAAGGAAGGTAGAAAATCCTTGGACCTGGAAAAGTTGCAGCCTTGGCAGGTATAAAGCCTTAGTAAGATCATACTTAAATACTCCATCCAAATATATTATTAAAAAGATGTCATCACAGAGGGTCTGTGAAAGCGTGAAGAAATGTTATGAGTGAAGTATTGGAGGTCCTTGGATGCAAAAGGTACTTAAGCGGGGGGGGGGGTCTGTGCTGAAGAAAAGGTTAAGAACCACTGGTCTATGAAATAACCAAGGACAGAGCTTGACTTGACTTCAAGGCAAGTGTTTATTCTTCTAGTGATCCAAGCTTTAGCATGCCATTTCTAAGATCAAAACCACCATTTTGTCCATAAAAAGCTGCAGCAGAGGTGATATTCAGCAGGTTCTGACTAGTTCTGGAGAACTGGTAGTGGAAATTTTGAGTACCAGAGAACCAGCAAATACTACCTCTGACTGGCCCCACCCCCATCTATTCTCTGCCTCCCGAGTCCCAGCTGATTGGCTGGGTCTTCTTTTGTTTCTCTGCACAGAAGAACAGAGCTGGAAAGCAGGTTAGTGGGATGGGGAGGGAATGGGGATTTTACAGTATCCTTCCCCTGTCACGCCCACCAAGCCATGCCCACCAAGCCACACCATGCCCATCAAGCCCACAGAACTGGTAGTAAAATTTTTGAATACCACCATTGGGCTGCAGGGGTTTTACTGATGATGTTCTTACCATTCCAGGTTCACCCCTTTCTCCAAATGCCCCAGTTTCACAACAATGTCATGGAAGGGGTGTATCTGGACCAGAATGGAGAGCTGGCAGCTGACTTTGACCTTGTGAACTGGCTAAAGTTTCCAAACAGGTCTCTAGTCCGAGTGAAATTTGGAAGTTTCTCAAGACAGAGATCTCAGGAGCCCAAGTTTATCATTGACCAGGATGCCATTATTTGGCCAAAATGGTTTAACAAGGTGGGGAAAAGGTTTCATTCAGAACACTTCTATTTTGGGTCACCACCCTTCCAAAACCTATAATAGATTATCCATCTTTCAAAGAGTCTTTAAAAGTTTACAGTGTTTCAGGATACAGGTAGTCCTCGGCATATGACCACATTTGAGCTCAAAATGTCTGTTGCTAAGCAAGACAGTTGTTAAGTAAGGTTGGCCCATTTACATTAAGTGCATCACTGCAGTTGTTAAGTTTGCCACACAATTGTTAAGTGAATCTGGCTTCTCCATTGACTTTGCTTGTCAGAAGGGCACAAAAAAATGATCACATGACCTTGAGACACAAAAATGATCATAAATATGGACCAGATGACAAACATCTGAATTTTGATCATGTGACAATGGGGATGTTGCAATGGTTGTAAGCATGAAAAATGATCATAAGTCACTTTTTCTGGTGCCACTGTAACTTCTAATGGCCACTAAATGAATGGTTATAAGTCAAGGACTGCCTATATCCTCCAAGAATCTCTCCTGTATTATATGCCATCATTTTCCATCGTTTGAACCCAATTCAGGGACTTTGAGCCATGGTGGCGCAGTGGTTAGAGTGCAGTACTGCAGGCTGGCTGCAATTTGGCAGTTCAAATCTCACCAGGCTCAAGGTTGACTCAGTCTTCCATCCTTCCAAAGACCCAAATTTTGGGGAGTTATATGCTGACTGTAAACCATCGTAAAGCAGTATATAAATATAAGTGCTATTGCTATTTAATTTGGATTCCCAGTTCAAATGCTACCATTTTGTATTCCATCTTTGCCACACTTTACACACTGAGCAGAGAACTACCAGTCCAAAGCTGAAGAAGCTTCTTCAATGAGAAGTGAACTGTCTTCAAAGAAAAACCAGTAAGTCCAGTTCAAAGTGGTATTCAGCAGGTTCTGAACAGTTCTGGAGAACTGGTAATGGAACTTTTGAGTAGTTCGGAGAACCAGCAAATACCACCTCTGACTAGAGATTTTACAGTATCCTCCCCCTGCCACACCCACCAAGCCATACTCACGGAACCAGTAGTAAAAAAAAAAAATCCCAGCACTGGTCCAGTTGCACTTGAAAAAATAAAAAGCACCTTTCGGAAAATCATGATCTGAATGACTGAGAATCTCCATAGATACCAGTCCAAAGATGATTTCACTATGAAGCTTATAATAACCTGTAGGAAACAAACTCAAACTCTTATGACTTATTTCTGGATATTACAAAACAGTTCACCTCTTTATCAAAATATGAAACATTTTTTTACAATGAATAATTCCTAAGATTTTTATCCTAATTAATAGCAATAGCACTTAGATTTCTGATACTGCTTCACAGTGCTTTACAGCCCTCTCTGAGCAGTTTACAAAGTCAGCATGTTGCTCCCAACCATCTGGGTCTCCATTTTACCAACCTCAGAAGGATGGAAGGCTGAGTCAACCTTGAGCTGGTGAGAATCGAAGAATCAGCAAAATTAGCCACCACAATTCTTAGATAGATAGAATTCTTTATTGATCTAGTGTGATTGGACACACAAGGAATTTGTCTTGATGCAAATGCTCTCAGTGTACATAAAAGAAAAGATACATTCATCAAGAGTCAAGAATCATAAGGTACAACACTTAATAGTCATAGGGTACAATAAGCAATCGAATCATACTGGGAAACAGTCAATATAGATCATAAGGATACAAACAACAAAGTTAAAGTCATATAGTCACAAGTAGGAGTGGATGGGTGATAAGGAGAAATGAGAAGATTAACAGTAATAGTAGTGCAGACTTTGTAAATAGTTGGACAGCATTGAGAGAATTATTTGTTCAGGAGAGTGATGGCAGTCGGGAAAAAACTGTCCTTGTGTCTAGTTGTTCTGGTGTGCAGTGCTCTATAGCATTGTTTTAAGGGAAGGAGTTCATACAGTTTATATCTGGGATTTGAGGCATCTGTAAATATTTTCACAGTCTTCTTTTTGACTTGTGCAGAATACAGGTCCTCGATTGAAGACAGGTTGGTAGTAATTGTTAACCAAAGACAATCTCTGTTTTAACCAAAGTCAGGGTCCAGATAAGACACATGGGAACAATAACACAAAACCACTCCTTCTAGTCTCAACCCTTTCCACATTTTAGAAGAAGATGTATTACAGGCTTTAATTTAAATCAAGTCTGATCTGTTGCTAAACAACTCTTAGAATATTTCCAACTTTCCCTCCATAAACTGTATTCCTTTACAATCCTTTTTCTATGTAGAGTCTGCCTCCCTCCAAATGTGTGGACAGTTGTCAGCCTGGATTTTTTAAGGTGGGCCAAGAAGGCAAGCCTGTTTGCTGCTATGACTGTATACCCTGTGGAGAAGGCATCTTTTCCTCTCAGGAAGGTAGGTGAGTCCAGAAGCAACCCTTCAATGAAAAAAGTTAATAATTCTCCCTGGGTGAAGATTTGTCCTTGCTTAGTTGATTTCTGAAACATGTTGAATAGAGCAGAATAGACCTGGAAGAGATCTTGGAGGTGTTCTAGTCCAGGAGTCGCCAACCTTTTGGACCTCAGGGACCATCAAACTCCCACAGGCCAGAGACCCTGGTAAACCCCCCCCAAAAAAATCTGCAGGAAAATTCCCCACCCCGTTTTCCTACCTATTGGTCATTCTTTATTTGGGATCACAGGATACCGTCTCCAGCTTTGTTCTCAGGGAGGGAGAGAGAGAGAGACTTTTGGCTTCATGCAAGGAAAGCAGCAGAAGCAGCTCCCTCAAACTCCGCCAGAAACGAGTTTTTGCCGGCGCAGCCTCTTGTAGCGAGATGCCTTGCAGGGTCCCAAAGACTCATTTCTGGCAGAGTTTGAGGGAGAGAAAGAAAAACTTTTGCTGCTTTTCTTGTGTGCAGCCAAAAGCAGAAGAAGCGGAAAGAAGCAGCTTGGTGACCAGGCCAGGCACGTGAGGTGAGTTCCCCCCTTCACTCTTCACTCACTCCCCTCACTATCTTGTGATGTGTGCAATGCAAACAATGCAAGCCTTGTGTTCCCATGGGCCATGTGGGTGGTGCAGCCCTGTGTTCCTGTGTAGCCTGGATTAATTGCTTTGGGGGTGACATTTCTCTGCAGACCACCAAAACTTTCTCACAGACAACCAGTGGTCCCTGGCCCACTGGTTGGTGACCATTGTTCTAGTCCAGCTCCCTGCTCAAGCTAGAGACCCTATACCGGGGTTGTCAAACTCAAGGCCTGGGGGGTGGATCCAGCCCATGGGGTGCTTATATCTCACCTGCAGGGCTACCCTGGAAACAGTGAAGGACCAGCCTGTAGTGCCTCTGCCAGGAAAATGGAGCTTGGGAGACTCACATACTGCTCTCCCAAGCTCAATTTTCATTGGCAGAGGGTTGCAGGAGGCCGTCACAGCTGGAAATAGACCTTGGGAGCCCATTTTCATTGGCAGAGTGCTCAGGCAGCCAAAGGCACCTCTGACATGAGTGATGTCAAGCCACCCACACCCACCCTGAGCCACGCCCACCACACAAACACACTCGAGGTCAAACACAAGCCTGATGTGGCCCTCAATTAAATCAAGTTTGACACCCCTGCCCTATACCATTTCAGACAAGTGACTGTCCAGTCTCTTCTTAAAAGCCTCCAATGATGAAGCACCCACAGTTTCTGATGGCAAGCTGTTCAACTGGTTAATTGTCCTCACTGTTAAGATGTTTCTCCTTAATTCCAGGTTGCTTCTCTCCTTGATTATCCCAAAGGTGCTTTTTCAAGAGGCAACTGGACTTTCTGGTTTTTCTTTGAAGACGCTCTGCTTCTCATCCAAGAAGCTTCTTCAGCTCTTGGATGAGAAGCAAAACATCCTCCAAGAAAAAACGGAAAGTCCCGTTGCCTCCTGAAAAAGCAACTTTGGGATAACTGTGACCTGGATGACGGAGAATCTCCATAGGCTCTCCTTGAATAATTTCTATCCGTTGTTATTAGTCCTGCTGTCAGGGCTCCGACAAATCCCCCTGATCCAAAGCAAAAGTCTCTAGCCACATCTCAGAAAAAGTAAATTGGTTTATTAGAAATTGCCGTGTTGGTGCGTGGCTGGGTGCAGCCGGTACTAAATCACACCATACATTTCCCCTTTGACCCCGGTCTTTCCCCCTCCCCCTGGATGTGACTTCTCCAATAGGACACATCAGTCTTCAAGAGTCATCCATCATGCACTCCAATACCCTCCTTATGGTCCAACAATTTGGGGCTGCTGAGTTGATATCTAGACATTTCAAGAATGCCTTATTTCCCCCACTCCCTTTTTCTGGCAGCTAAAAAGACCAAAGGGTATCTTTTTAGTTGACACCTGCTCTCTGGTGCTTTGGAAAATAAGTTGACCCCCTTCTTCTTGATGGCAGCCCCTCAAATACTGGATTAGTGCTATGCTGTTAAAAATAAGCCAGTAGAAATCAAAGGTATTGGACAAGCATGAGTCCCCACCAATGCTAAAGAGCAGAAAAGTGTCCATAGGGTTTAATAACATTGTTCATAGTCCCTTTGGTTTTTCTATTTCTCACCCTCTTCAGCATGTTTATTGGTGACATAGAAAAGACTAGATTGCTGGCTGAAGATGATTGGTAATCTTTTCCTTCATTTCAGATGCAGAAAAGTGTGCCAGATGTCCAGATGATCAGCATCCAAATCAGAAGCAAGATCAATGTCTTCCTAAGAAATTAACCTTCCTGGCTTACAGTGAAAATCTGGGGACCACCTTAACTTCTCTTGCATCCTCTTTGGCCTTAATTACTACTCTAGTCTTAGCAATCTTTATTAAATATAGAGAAACTCCCATTGTCAAAGCCAACAACCGTGACCTCTCTTACATCCTCCTTACCACTCTCCTGCTTTCCTCCCTGTCCGCATTTCTCTTCATTGGACGACCAAACAGAGCCACCTGCCTTCTCCGACAAACTACCTTCAGCATCATCTTCTCAGTGGCTGTTTCTTCTGTCTTAGCCAAAACAATCACAGTTGTGTTGGCTTTTCTGGCCACAAAGCCAGGAAACAGAGTGAAAAAATGGCTTGGAAAGAGTTTGACCAACTCCATCATCCTTTCTTGTTCCAGTGTCCAGGTGATCATCTGCAGCATCTGGCTGGTGGTCTCTCCCCCATTTCCTGATTCTGACATGCGGTCTCAACCAGGAAAGATTGTGCTTCAATGTAATGAAGGATATCTTGCAATGTTTTATGTTGCTCTCGGCTACAATGGATTCCTGGCTGCCATCTCCTTTGTGGTGGCTTTCCTGGCCAGGAACCTCCCAGGGGCCTTCAATGAAGCCAAGCTGATCACTTTCAGCATGCTACTCTTCTGCAGTGTCTGGATCTCCTTTGTACCCACCTACTTGTGCACCAAAGGGAAATACATGGTGGCTGTGCAGATCTTCTCCATTTTGGCTTCCAGTGCTGGCCTACTGGGCTGCATCTTTATTCCCAAGTGCTACATTATGTTAATAAGACCAAATCTGAATACAAAAGAACAGCTAATTTTGAAAACTTAAGTCGGCAACTGACTCTTATACATTTTTTCCCCACAATGTCATTATTTCACACAAAGTCTGTGTTCTAAAAAGTCTTGTAATGGAAAATTTGTATTTTTATTCTTGGCTGCAAAAAAAATGTATTCAAACCTATAAGTAGCATTTCAGCTCTCACACTTAATTATTTTTATGTATGGCTACCTACTGTATATATTTCCTATTCTTTTTAGCCACATAGTTGACTAATTTTTCAGAGTTAGAATCTAAAATTATTATTCAGACCTTTCTATATATTGAACTGCCTTTCGGTAACAGCCAGTAGATCAGGGTTCAGTGCTACATTTCTATGGTTTGGCATTGCAGGTCCCGAAGGTGTTTTTTTTCCAAAAGGCGATTGGATTTTTCCCCCAAGAAAGTCCAATTGCATTTTGGATAAAGCACCTTTGGGACAATCATGACCTAGATGACCGCATTACAGGCTTTGTGTCACATTATTCTAAAATATAAAAGATCCAAATCTTTGGATTTGACCATCTGTTTAGTCTCTTTCCCCTTGTTTTTGTGGGATTAAACCCTTTATTCGTCTTTTGGATTTTTTTTCTTTTGCATTGTTGTTTTCAGCAGGCTTTAAGATATTTCAGTGAGTCTATTATTCCTATATTACTTGTAAGTGAAAAAAAGAAAGTTTGTCTTATGTCAATGCCAACTCTGATTCTCTTGAAGAAAAATCAATTCCTTGCGTGTCCAATCACACTTGGCCAATAAAAAATTATATTCTATTCTTATTAATCTTTTGGATTTTCATTTTCTTTTTCATTGCTATTTTCAGAAGGCTTTAGGAAATAGCGGTGAGTCTATTATTCCTGTATTTTTTGTAAGTGAAGAAAAGAAAGCTTGTCTTCTGTCACAGCCAACTCTGATTCTTTTGGAGAAAAATCTGTAGGAGGGAACTGCTAAATTTCTGCCCTATTTGTGACTTAAAAGTGTCTTCTCCCTTCTCAAAACATTTCCCTTCTGAAAATATTTACAGAATCCTCACATTCTGGACTCAACTTTTTCAACTCCTACCCTCAAAATGATGATAGAGCACTGCACACCAGAACAACTAGACACAAGGACAGGTTTTTCCCCAAAACCATCACTCTGCTAAACAAATAATTCCCTCAACACAGTCCAACTATTTACTAATTCTACATTAATATTACTATTAGTCTTCCCATCCTTCCTTTCACCCATCTTCTCCCACTTGTGACTTGTGACTGAAACAGTTCAATCTTGTTGTATCTGAGGAATTGGACAGAGTCCTCAACACTGTCATCACAACCACCTGTCAATTAGATCCTTGTCCCTTTGGGTTGGTGAAAGCCCCCAGGATGGTGACTAAGAGGCAGCCCAGCAGTGATAAATTCCTTGCTGTAAGAGTGGATGTTCCTCAGGTCTTTTAATAAGGCCCTGTTTTGCCCCCTTCTTTTAAAAAAACATCATTTGAACTTGCCTGCCTGGACAATTTTCATCCAGTTTCCCATCTTCTTTTTTTAGGGAAGATGGTAGAAAAAGTGGTTGCTTGGCAACTTCAGTGGGTCCTGAATGAAATGGAAGCCTCTGGACCCTTTCAGTCAGGACTCAGACCTAGTTATGGGATAGAGAGAACTTTTGACTCAGTCAGGAACCTGTGCCCACTAAACCGAATTGTTTCTATTCCTGATCCACATCTCACTAGGTACTATAGCTACAATGCTGATCTAGTAAGAAGGGTTAAATAATAGGAAGGTCACACAGGTGGGTTTATTAAAAACACTCCAATGTCATGCTGTAAGGTGGCAGGTTATGAGCAGGAATGCAATTGATCACTTGCAGTTTGCTCCTGCCCATTTGCAGGCTTGTATGTTTTACCATTTCCTCTTTTCCTCTCTGTCTCTCAACTTTTTTTTTTTTTGAGATACACTTTGTCAGGCCTGCCCCAGGTCATGACCTAGGAAAGAAAGACCCTTGATTCAGCAGTGGGACTCTACCTATTCCACTAACGGTTCAGTGATCGTATACATATGCACTTAACACATTTATTTATTTATTTATTTTATTTATTTGTCAATTGTTTACGAGATAAGTAAAAGAGTATACATAATTATGAATACATGAAATGAGTACATATAAGAAAAATAAAAGAAACAATAGGACAGGGACGGTAGGCACGTTGGTGCGCTTATGCATGCCCCCTACAGACCTCTTAGGAAAGGGGTGAGATCAATAGTAGACAGTCTAAGGTTAAAGTTTTTGGGGTTTGGGGAAGAAACTACAGAGTTGGGTAGAGTATTCCAGACATTGACCACTCTGTTGCTAAAGTTGTATTTCCTGCAATCAAGCTTGGTGCGGTTAACCTTGAGTTTGTATCTGTTGTGTGCTCTTGTGTTGTTATGGTTGAAGCTGAAGTATTCATTGACAGGTAGGACATTGCAATGTATGATTTTATATACCATGCTTAAATCAGACCGAAGACGGCGTAATTCCAGGTTTTCTAGTTCTAGAATTTCAAGTCTGGTGGCATAAGGTATTCTACAACGAGTGGAGGAGTGGAGAACTCTTCTTGTGAAATATTTCTGGACTTTCTCAATTGTGCTAATATCAGATACGTAATGTGGGTTCCAGACTGATGAGCTGTATTCGAGTATTGGTCTAGCAAATGTTTTGTATGCTCTAGTTAGTAGTGTGATATTACCAGAGAAAAAGCTACGTAAGATTAGGTTAACAACTCTTAATGCCTTTTTGGCTATGTAGTTGCAGTGGGCACTAGCACTTAGATCATTAGAGGTGAGTATTCCAAGGTCCTTTACAGAGCTTGGATCATCAACAAGATCTTGACTATTCAGCTTGTATTTTATTTTCGGATTTTTTTTGCCAATATGTAAGACAGAGCATTTATTTGTTGAGATTTGTTTGACCATTCTGATACACAGTCAAGATCTTCTTGAAGGGTAGCAGTATTGTCTGTGGTATTGAACAGCTTTACATCATTAGCGAAAAGAACGCAGTTGCTCTTAATATGATCACAGAGGTCATTTATGTAGAGTATGAAGAGAGTTGGTCCTAGAACACTGCCTTGGGGGACACCACTATTGACAGGTACAGAATTTGATAGGACACTCCCAATTTTGACCATTTGTTGTCTGTTTGACAGGAATGCTTCTATCCAGTTATGCAGTTGTCCAGAGATACCATAGGATTTTATTTTTAGTAGTAGATTCAGTACCACTGAATCAAAGGCTTTACAGAAGTCTATATAGATTGCATCTATTGTTTTGCCCTGATCAAGTTGTGTAGTCCATATGTTTTTGCAGTGTAAGAGTTGCAGATTACAGGATAGTTTTTTTCTGAAACCAAATTGTTTATTGGAGAGTAGATTGTTTGTCTCTAAGTGGAGGATGATGGATTGGTTAATAATTGATTCCATGACTTTACAGGTGACGCAGCATAAGGAGATTGGTCTGTAATTTTCAACTAGGCAAGGGTCTCCCTTTTTGAAGATGGGGATGACTGTGGCTTGTGACCATAGGTTAGGCAAGGAACTGGTCCTGAAAGATTTTTCAAAGATTATGCTTAGAGGTTTAGCTATGGCAGTGGATAACTTTTTTAAGAAATAGGCATATATTCCATCCGGTCCAATAGATAGGGATGGTTTTAGATTGCGTAGTGCTTTTTCAACATTGTCTTCTGTAAAATCAATATGTATTAGATCACTGTAGTTATCTGTGGTTCAGCTAGGAAATGCTGGGCATGATCCATTGCTGTTAACAAATACTGAGCCAAAAAATGTGTTAAAGAGGTTGGCTTTAATGGTGTCATCGTTGCAGTCTTTACCATTAGGTCCTATTAGGGGTGGGATGGACCTTGAATCTTTTAGTTTGTTGTTTACAAAATTGTAAAAAGCATTGGTGGAGTTGGTGCTTAGAAGGTTTTCCTCTTGTTTAATGTGATAATTGGTGCATTCAGTCTTTATTTGGTGGCATAAATTTTTGTATCGGCTTTTGAAATTGGCAACGTGACCAGATTTGTTTTTCCACCAGAGTGATCTCTTTTTGGATTGAAGTTTCCTTATTGTTATGAGCAATCTGTTTTTTTTTGTTTTGTTTTGGGAGTAGTTGTTGGTACATATAGTTTGATGACTCTTTTGACTTCAAGTAAAAATACGTTGTAATGGTCTTCAACAGTATTGCATCCAGTGAATAGAGATTGCCAATCAAGGGATGAGAGATCGTTGTTTATAAGATCATAGTTGCCTTTTTTGAAATTATAATTGGGGATCACATCATTGTGGTGGTTTTTGTGTGGACGTATGTTGAGACAAAAGTCAATCATATTGTGGTCACTGCTGGAAAAGGGTTCTTTAGTTTGTATTCTGTAAATTAAATTCAAACTATTGCAGAAGATGAGATCGAGGCAGTTGTTTAGTCTAGTGTTGTTGGATACTAGCTGTTCCAGTCCCAGATTTGTAACAGCATTGTAAAAGGTTGCATGTATGGTTTCAGTTGTACATTCATTTAGGGTCCAGTCAATATGAGGCAGATTGAAATCACCAAGAAAGATAAAAGGGTATGGGCAGGATGCTGCCCATGTTAGTAGTGTATTTAGCTTGTTTACATGTTTGATGTCATAATCAGGTGCTCTGTAACATAGTAAGTATCGAATTGTGATATTTAAGGATAGTTCACAGATAATGGTCTCAGGAAGAGCAAGCTCCTGGGTAACTTGGATATTTTTTAGATGTAAGGACTTTTTGTAGAAGATAGCAACACCACCTCCTCTATGAATTTCACGATCTGATCGGTAAACATGATAGTCTCTTACTGTGGTAATGGAGTCGGGGAGAGATGCATTGAGCCATGTTTCACAGACAAATATAATGTCGAATTTAGCCATATTTAGTAGGAGGAAAAATTCAGGTATTTTATTTACAAGGCTTCTTGCATTGAGTAGCTTGCATTTAAGGCCAGCAGTAGTTGGAATTGAGGTAGTTAGGAGCGTGC